AGGATGTTTGGTTTCTGGCTGAGTTTTAAGTTCTTTACATATCCTAAATACGAGCCCTTTATTAAATATACATTTGTAGCCGGGCGCGGTGGCTCAAGCCTGTAATCCCAGCACTTTGGGAGGCCGAGGCGGGTGGATCACGAGGTCAAGAGATCGAGACCATCCTGGTCAACACGGTGAAACCCCGTCTCTACTGAAACTACAAAAAATTAGCTGGGCATGGTGGTGCGTGCCTGTAATCCCAGCTACTCAGGAGGCTGAGGCAGGAGAATTGCCTGAACCCAGGAGGCGGAGGTTGCGGTGAGCCGAGATCGTGCCATTGCACTCCAGCCTGGGCAGCAAGAGCGAAACTCCGTCCCCAAAAAAAAAAAAAAAAAAAAAAAAAAAAAAAAAAAAAAAAAAAAAAAAAAAAAAAAAAAAAAAATATATATATATATATATATACACATTTGTAGTATTTTCTCCCTGTCTGTGGCTTGCCTTTTCATTTTTCTAATGATATCGTTCAGAGTTTTTCATTTTGATGAAGTCGGACTGGGATGACGTCCATGTGTGTTTCTGTCCACGGTCCCTGGCTTGTAACTCCCACACCCCTTACTATAGTAAACAGAATCTCTCTCTGACCTTCTGCCCTCCTTTCACCTGCCCAAAGCTAGACTCTAATCTGATTGTGGGTCACAAGACCCTTATTCCAGAGGGTTCTCACCTTTACCCTGGAGGAAGGAATGCTGTACAGAGAGGCCAGAAGAAGCTGGTCAGGGCTTTGCTGGGTTCAGATCACACCCTTTTTGTCCAATCACATTTCAACATGGTTGTCCATGTTTCAATCATGCCTATCCAATGACATCTCCATAAAATTCCCAAGAGGACAGGGTTTGGGGAGTTTCTAGAGAACTGAACATGTGGAGGCTGACAGGAAGGTGAACAAGAATGAGTTTCCCAACCCACCCACAGGGACAGAAGCTCCTGTGCTCAGAACCCTTTCAGACCTCATCCCATGTATGTATCTCTTCACTTTGTTAGCTAGGCATGGTGGTGAGCGCCTGTAGTCCCAGCTACTTGAAAGGTTGAGACAAGAGGATCACTTGAGCCCAGAAGTTTGTAGACCAGCCTGGGCAACACAGTGAGACCGTCTTTAAAAAAACAACAACAAGAAAAATATGCTTTGTAATACACCGGTAAATTTATGTGTTTCCCTGAGTTCTGTGAGCCACTTCAGCAAATCAACTGAACCCAAGGAGGGGAACGTGGGAACCCCAATATATGGCTGATTAGTAGGAATTCTGAAGGCCTGGACTTGCAACTGGTATCAGAAGTGGGGTGGGGGAAGTCTTAGGGTCTCAGCCCTCAATCTGTGGGGTCTGACTCTGTCCCTAGGTAGACAGTGTCGGAATGGAACTGGAGGACACCCAGCTGATGTCCACTCCGGAACTGATGGCTTGTTTGCTGGTGGGAGAACCGCCCCGGATGTGGTCACTTTTGTTTTCTGTGGTGATTGTTGCTAATGAAGGAAATGGGAAAAAGTACTTTGGTCTTCATGTGTTTTCCACTCATAGCAACTTATTCTACTTTTTTTTATGGCTAGTCCTTTATACAACCCAAGAAATCTGTGCTTAGGTCACCAAGCTTTTCTCCTGTATTTTCTTTGAGAAACGTAATAGTTTTAGCTTTCACATTTAGGTCTATGATCTGTTTCAAGTTGACTGTTGTGTATGGCATGACATCAGGTTCAGTTTTTTCTCTATATGACTCTTGAGTTGTTCTTGAATCATTTTTTTGAAAATATAATCCTTTCCCTCATCAATTACCTTGGCCTTTCTGTTGAGTGCCAGGTGACTATATACATGTGGATCTATTTCTGGGCACTATATTCTGTTCCATCTGATTTATTTTTTTTTTTTATTTTTTATTTTTGAGATGGGGACTTGCTCTGCTGCCCAGGTTGGAGCACAGTGGCAGGACCACAGCTGCCCTGAGTCTGCAGACTAAAGTGATCTTCCCACCTCAACCTCCCAAGCAGCTGGGACTATAGGCATGTGCTACAACACCCAGCTAATTGTTTTTGTACCTTTTGTAGAGATGGGGTCTTGCTATGCTGCCCAGGCTGGTCTCCAACTCCTAGGCTCTAGTGATTTCTCCTGCCTCAGCCTCCCAAAGTATATGTGGATGACAGGCATGAGCCACCACACCCAGATGATTTATGTCATCTTATGCCAGCACCATAATGCTTGACGTCTGTGCTTCAAAGAAGTCTTATAACCAGGTAGCAGAAGTCTTCTAACTTTGTTCTTTTACAAAATTATTTTGGTTATTCCTCACTCTTTGCATTTTCATATAAATTTTAGGATCAGCATGTCAGTTTCTACATAGATACCTGTAGGGGTTTTGCTTAGGCCTATGGAGAATGTATAGGTCAGTGTGGGGAGAATGGACATCTTCACCTGAAGGCTTCCATCCATCATGGTGGTCTCTTCTCTGCTTATTTTGCTTCTTTATTTTTCATACTCTTTTATAGTTTTCAATGTACATATCTTACACATATTAAACATTTTTCCAGGTACAATTGTTTCTAGCATGTAGAAATATAACTGATTTTTGTGTACTGACCTTGTATTCTGTGACCTTAATAAAGTCATTCATTAGGTTAAGTAACTTTTTTGTTGATATCTTTATTATTTTAAAAGTCTTCTAAAGAACAAAGGCAGTGTTTCTTCCTTCCCAGGGTGCCTACATTTCCCTTCTTTGTCTGGCCTCACTGCGATGGCTAGGAGCTCCAGTTCAACACGGAAGAGATGCAGTGAGAACAGGCCGCCTTACATATTCTGTAGTTGGGGCAGGGATAAGAGGGGGCATTTTTCCTTTTACCGCTACTGACAATGTTGGCCGTGGGTTTTTCATACATGCCTTTATCTGGCTGAGAAAGATCCCCTCTAGTCCTAGTTTGCTGAAATTTTTTTAATCTCATTGGATTCTGTCAAATATGTTTTCCTGTGGTTCCTGAGATAATCATGTGGTTTTCACCTTCATTCTGTTAATATGAAGAATTATATTAACTGATTTTTCGATTATAAACCAGCCTTGCATTCCAGGGATAAATGCTACTTGGTCATATTATCCTTTTATAAATGTTAGTGGATTTACTTTTTGTCAAAGTTTTGACAGGGATTTTGTGTAATGTTTCTTCTTGTGGAATATAAACATTTAAGCTACAAAGCTGTAAGTTTCTAAATACTGCTTTATGTATATCCCAGAAATGCTGACATGCTATGTTTTCATTATAATTCAGTTTAAAATATTTTCTCATTTTTTAAAAAATTTCTTTGACCCAGGGTTTATTTAGAAGTGTACTGTTTAATTTCCAAATAACTGAGAGTTTTCTAGGTATCTTTTGTTGTTGATTTCTAATTAAATTTCACTGAGAACATATCCAGTATTATTTCAATCCCTTTGAATTTATCAAGACATGTTTCATGGCCCAGGATATGGTCTATCTTGAGGAATATTCCACATTCATTTGAAAAGAATGTTCACCTGGCAGTTGCTGGGAGGTTTAATGAACGCATATGAGGCCAGGCTGGTAGAGAGAGCTGTCAGGCCCTCTCTTTCTGCATGTGTTCTTCCTGTTCTAGCCACAGCAGAGAAGTGGTGAGATCTACTTTTTTTTTTTTTTTAGAGACAGAGCGTAGCTCGTTGCCCAGGCTGGAGTACAATGGCGCCATCTTGCCTCACTGCAAACTCCACCTCCTGCCTCAGGCAATTCTCCTGCCTCAGTCTCCCGAGTAGCTGAGATTACAGGCATGTACCACCATGCCTGGCTAATTTTTGTACTTTTAGTAGAGATGGAGTTTCACCATGTTGGTCAGGCTGGTCTCAAACTCCTGACCTGAAGTGATCCACCCGCCTCATCCTCCCAAAGTGCTGAGATCACAGGTGTGAGCCACCACGCCCGGCCAAGATCTCCTACTTGAATCGTGAATCTACCTTTCTTTCCTTTCCCTTTTGTCAGTTTTGATATCACATCTTTTGAAGCAAGATGAGGGTTTTTAATGTCCTCCGGATACCTTTATTATTACAAAATGCCCTTCTGTATCTCTAGTAATAATCCTTATTCTGAAGTGTACTTTCTTACAGTATCACCTGACCAGGACTCAAATCTGCTTTAAAAATCCAATGTCCCCTTGATTTACCTAATATCATTTTTACATTACCAAACCTTCTGCCTAGAAGTAGAAATCATTCTAGTATAAGACTGAGGAGGACAAAATAAACTAGTCCCATCCCCGTCTCAGAGGAAGGCAGCTCACTAGACTGTAGAACGGTAGACATCTGTGTGTTGACCCCCACCCCAAGACACCCCACCAACATTCATTCACTGTGGGACAACAAGAAAGGTTTATCTCAAGGTTAAAAATACTTTCTGCCGGGCGCGGTGGCTCAAGCCTGTAATCCCAGCACTGTGGGAGGCCGAGGCGGGTGGATCACGAGGTCAAGAGATCGAGACCATCCTGGTCAACATGGTGAAAC